TCCAGCTCCTGAGGGAGCAGAATACCATCCAGACCCAGGCAGTGGAGGCCACAAACGATGACCGCTGGACCCTGGACACCATCCTGGCCCTAGGAAATATGGGCAAGATCTGGCTCCCTCTGGGCTCTTCCTGATACCCACCACTGAAGTACCAGCCCACAGGACCATCCCCAGGCTGCTGCTCAGTGTGGCCAGGGCACAGCTCTGGGGGAGGGTCTGGTAATGTCTGTGTAGGGGGTGGGGGGCTCTGGCCCAAGCCTCTGCTGTGCAGTGAGGACAGGGCAGGGGACTGCGGGCAGCGCTCACCATGTGAATAACGTCCAGGGAAAAGATCTGGATGCAGCACATGACAGCAGACAGTGTGCACACGATGGTGGAGAAGATGGTCAGGCCACAGATGCTGAACAGCAGGTCCTGGGCAGGGGCACAGAGGGGCCCTGAATGCTCCTCTTCACATGCCAAGCCCCCCCACTCTGGTGATGAGCCTCTGGGCCCTGGCCCTGGCCCGGTCCAGCCCTGCCTGCAGCATCAGGCTTGGAGCATCTCCCCAGGCACCAAGCCGCCCCAGCCTGGCACAGCCCCCCTCCCCCTGGCTTAGCCAGTGTGGCCCCAGCTCCTGCAACACCATTACCTTCAGTGCCATGCGGATGCTGCGGCAGTCGGGGTTGGCAAACATGACCAGCCTGTCGGGGTGGCGGCTGCAGGGGCCAGGCACGTGCTGCAGGCCGGAGCGGACCGAGCAGCACATGCACATGTCCATCTCCTGCGGGAAGCGAGACACTGGGTGAGGGATGGCTGGGTCCCAGAGCCCCAGCCCTGCTGGTGCTCCCCTCCTAGAGCCGACAGTCCCCTTGCCCCATGCCCATCCCTTGCCCCACGCCCATCACCCAGCCCCTGAGGCATGAGCCTGCACTGCTGCCCCAGGCTCAGCCACGCAGCCTCCCCCAACTCTCCATCTCCTGAGGCTGGTGCCCAGCAGCCACAGCTCAGGGCCTCACCCGCTCACAGGCCTCCAGGGACTTCACGAGCTGGGCGTTCTGACAGGAGAGGATGGAGCCAGCCAGGCCCAGCATGACGCCCAGCACAGACAGCAGCGTGAAGAAGGTGATCTGGAACAAGGCAGAAGGGGAACGGGCCGACCGGCATGTGCAGGTGAGGGGAGCCTGGCTTTGCCTTCTCCCCCCACCAAAGCACCCAGAGATGCAGGGGCCCCTGGCAGGATGAGCACCCCTGCCCCACATGCAGCTGACACCTACCACCACCGTGACGGGCCGTTTCCAGGAGACAACGCCAACAAGCCCCGACAGGGCCAGCTGGGGACAGACAGACAGGGACCCTGAAGAAGACCGGGGCGGGAGGATGTCCCACACATCCCCTGCCCTCCCCATGCCCGCACTCTGCTCCCTGCCTGCAGCCCATGCCCCGCACATGCACAACAGGCAGGCGCCTCCTTGCCGGCCAAGCAAGGAAAGTGCTGATTCAGGGCACTCAGGAGCAGGCAGGAGCAGCTCAATGCTGGCCAGTGGGACCCTGGCCAGGGCAGCCCATCAGGGGTGCCGCGCTGCAGGGGTGGGGTGGGGGGGCTTGGCACCATGTGGGCTGGAGGGCATAGGCAGGGAGACCAGAGATGCTCAGGGCCTGTTGAGCTCCCTCTGTAAAACAGGGAGGATCCTGTACCCAGTCACGCCAGCTGGGAAGTGACACAGGTGAGCAAGCGGCACCGGGGACTGGGGCTGGCAGCACAGGGCATGGGGGAGGCCTGGGGACAACAGAAGAGCCCGGCAAGGGGTCCTGGCACAAGGGGGATCACCTACATGCTGCCCTGCCACTGCCCCACTGCTGCCCCCCTGGGCCCTGTGGGCTGGCACAAGCTCGCAGAGCGCACTGCTCCCCTCATGCCCAGCAGGAGAGCGGCACCCCGGGGTGCACAGCCAGGGAGGCCCCTGCCCCCCACCAGAGCAGAGCCAGCCCTAGAAACTCCCCGCACGGCTGGGCCCCTGGCTCCCCCTTGGCCTTGCGGATCTGCCCGAGACTCACCGAGAAGCCGGCCCAGTAGGGGCAGGAGTGCCGGATCTTGGGGGCAGGCGTGATAGTGGCTGCCACGAGGCTGAAAGTGACGATGAGGATGCCCAGGATCACTTGGATGAAGCCCAGCACCAGCAGGGTCTGCAGCCAGGTCCTCTGCATGCGGAGGTGCGTGAGGCTGCGGGAGCTGCGGCCGGTCAGCGAGTGGCTGGAGTCGCTGGAGGATGGCATGGTGCCCCCCCGGCGGGATGGGAGCGGCCGGCCCGCGGCTGGAGGGAGCCACAGCCAGGCCCCGGGGACGGTCCTGGGAGCCGAGCAGGCCACGCTGCGCCCTGCGGGCAGCTCCGAGCTGGGAGCCCTGGCCGGGCGCAGGGGCGGGCAGCGCGACTGTCCTAGGCGCACTGCTCAGGGCCGGAGCATCGCGGGCGCGGGGCGCGGGGCAGAGCCGGCTCCTGGCGGCCGGGGGTCTCGCTCCGCGTCGCCATCAGCCCCCGCGCGAGCCGGGC